TGAGCGTCGATTAGGGAGAATTTACTGTACAAATATCTATAAAATTTGGTAAATTTCTGTAATTCGGATAATTTTCTTTTTCAAATAAAAAACGGTGAAACTTGTCCGAGTATCTAACACATTGTAGAAAATATATCAGTATAACAATTTTTGAAGTCGCATATCTGCCAGAAAATTAGCCTAAACAATCTTAATAGATCTGTATATTAATGCGACAAACGTGGAAACTTGAAAATGCCGATACTCGAAAACTGGCGAATTTGTTGCACGCGTGAGAATATACGATTATTTGAATGATAGACAATCTGAGCGTCAATTAGAGAGACATTACTGTACTCGAAAAATAAACGATACGATCATTCGATCCTTGCGGTTCATTTTTATAGTTACGAATTGTCAACAACTATAAAAACGAGATGCGAGGCTCGAATAATCGTATCTTCTCTTTCAAAATTGTCCATTTTTGTGCACAATCCGAGCGTCAATTAGGGAGACATAACTGCATTTGGTGTAATTCGAGTTTTCAAATACAGTAAATTCTCCCCAATTGTCCCTGAGCTTGTGAACAAAAATGGACAATTTGGGAAGTAGCCGCGAGGCTCGAGTAATCGTATCTCCTCTTCTCAAATTGTCCATTTTTGTTTACAAGCTGAGGAACAATAGGGGAGAATTTACTGTATCGATTATTATGAATTTGTGGGAAGAATGGCTACGCAAATTGCAGAGCTGCGAAGATATCGGAAAAATTTCACAGTATTGCGACATCACTTTCAAATTAATTGAAACTATTAAAGGAAGGAATGCATTCACATCAGTCTTCTGGTTTTTCAATAACGATTTATTCAGGAAACGATGTCGATAGACGTACAGTAAGTAGATAGTACAGTAAGATAGACGTACAGTCTTAACTGACGCTCAGATTGTGCACAAAAATGGACAATTTGGGAAGAGGAGATACGATTGTTCGAGCCTTGTGGCTCGTTTTTTATGATTATCGATTGTCAACAACTATAAGAACGAGCTGCAGGGCTCGAACAATCGTTTCTCCTCTTCCGAAATTGTCCAGTTTTGTGGACAATCTGAGCGTCAGTTAGGGAGACATTACTGTAGTTCTAATTTACTTTCCACCGAGATTCGAATAAATGGTAATTTCAAAAAGATCGCAACAATTTGATAGAATCACGACAGTCGACGAGTCTTAAATACATAGTGTTTGTTGCACTTTAACCCTTTGCACTCGAAGCCATTTTAACTCTAAATGCAAGATGGCTTTTTCTGACCTACGCTGCTTCTATTTTATACGACTTGGTGCAGTTAAAAATGCACCAAGTATAAAAATCGAGTCTTGTAATTTATAGAACACTTACTCTTTTAGCGGCAGTCTCTTGAATATAAACAAACATGAGATAACGTAAATATTATTTTGTATTTTGATATAAGAATTTTTAGCGGTGATAACGTAAAAATTATTTTGTAACATGATATAAGAATATTTTTTTAGCGGTGCCTCAGAGTCACCACTCGAGTGCAAAGGGTTAAACATGGAAATTTTTGACAAAAGCATGTACACAGTTTTAGTTTACAAGACAATCGTTTTTTCCCTTACACGATTGTTTCAAAAGAAAACGATTCGAAGTATCCTGTAGTTTCGATCGTTTCGTACCAAGAGATTTATAAGATTAGCTCCGATTTCCGTCGGAAACGATTTCGAATTCGGCCGCGTTTTGCGCATCGCGTCGCGCGCCCTGCCGCATCGTTCGTATGATACTCTTCAATTACGGTTATTTTTCACGATTCTTTCGGCATCAGGGGCATAATTTCGCCTGGCCCGCTGATAAATATGCCGGCCTTATTGTATGGCAGAGCAGTGAAACGTTCAGACCTCGCTTCTGCGTATAAATGGCGTCATGTTTCCGCGAACGATCTTCTTAAGAGGCTCGCGAAGGTCAACCAACATATCGCATGACCTCCGATGGCCACTTAATTCGGAGTGTAAGACGAGGTGAGAGGCCACGAAGTGGATCCAAAGTGTTGCCGTGTACTCGCGCACACGGCAATTGGTACGCGCGCTCGCAAGCGGGGAAAAGGAAAATTTGCTCTCGCATGGAGATGGAGAGAGAGAGAGAGAGAGAGAGAGAGAGAGAGAGAGAGAGAGAGGGAGAGAGAGAGAGAGAGAGAGGGAGAGGGAGAGAGAGAGAGAGAGGGGGGGGAGGGAGAGAGATAAATCGACGGGCAAAAGTGGTAGTAGGGTCGGTCACGCCGACTCACGGCGCTCGTTATTACCTTAGCGACTGCTCCCATCGTGGGTTCGGCCCTTAGAACGAGCGGCGCGGCGCGGCGCGGCGTGACCCAGGCGTTCCTCAAACTCGAATCGTCGTGAATTCGTCGCAGCTTTTGCTGGTAATTTGCGGTAATATTATAATCAGCCCCTTGCTGCGTTCGAAAGGGCGCCCGAAAAGCCGGCCGAAAAGGCGCCGACCCGACCCGACCCGACCACGCCATGCCACCTCTCGCCGAATCGATGACCCATGAAATCGTGTACGTCTCACCTTACGCGCGATGCCCTTCCAATATTTTCGGCGGCGAGGATCTCGCCTCGAACAGACACTGTGCGCTCAACATTCTAAAGTGTCTCAAATATGTACCCGGTAATGCGCGCCACGTTATTATAGCGCCCGCGGTCTTGCGAGCGGCCTTGAAACGAAACGATCGCGATCGCGTTAGAGGGACTAGTTTACTAGAGAAATTTTTGCACGGATACAGCGATTGAATTGCTTCTTTAAAACTCGGCCGAATTTCGAAGGGATTATTCTGCTTTAGCCAGTTAGCTGTGGGGCGTCTCCTTTCCAGAGCGCGTTCCTATATGAGCCGTTTATTTTGAAAGCGGCACAAGTCACTTTACCGTAATGAAAAGTGGTGATTTTGTAATGTTTATACGAAATTATTTGCACTGAGAAAAATATCAGTATCCCGAGATAACGAATACAAGGTAAATCTTCTCTAAAGTTAGCATCCATATTTTGAAACGTGTTAAAACACGCAAACCCTTAAATATATCGACTTAAAAACAAAGCGACTTATGCCACTTTCGAAATAAACGGCTCATATGTATGCGTCGCGAGAATCAAACCGTAACGAGTATACTCGTCAAACGCAAAGTGTCGCTGTTAAAATATTGCATCGAAAAGACCTTTAATAATTTCTTTTTAACAAATATTCGCTAAGCGTATTAACTTCAGATTCTTCTGATAAACAAATGATTGGTTGTAATTATTAACCAGTTACAACTCCTTTTCAGAGCGCGCACTTATGTGTGTCGCGAGAATCAAGCGATGACGAGTATACTCGTCGAACACAGAGTAAGTGTCGCTGTCAAAATATTGGATCAGAAAGACGGTTTTATTTTATCAAATTAACTATTTTATTACTGATGTTTACTTATTCACTTATTATTAATATATACTACATACACAATAAACGAGAAACGCAGAAAAAATCCAATACTTATAAAAGTTAAAAATTCAAATTGCTGCTATAGAGTGGTATTCAGCAAAGCAAGGAACGATACGTAATGGCACTTTGCACGTCGAACACCGATATCGTGATTTTATTCTAATCTTATTTCTATAACAATGTAAACACTTTCGTGTAGGATTGGTCTCGAAATATTCTAAACGTCTTGAAATTTGAGAACATGTTTTTGTTTTCACTAAAATTACAATTTAAATAGCCAGTAGTCACTACTTTTCACGCACGACGAGTATACTCGTCGTGACGCAAAATACTGCCACTTCTCCATGACGAGTATACTCGTCAAACACAGCTAACTG